GGTGGTGGAGGCGGAGGAGATGGCGGCGCCGGTGGCAGTAGACCCCGTGTTGTTGGTAAGAAGTCTCTTGCAATTAATTTCTCCGTTTTAAGTGAAGCAAACTGAGAATAATTTACTAGAGAAGAAACGCGTCCCTTTCTTGCAATAGAACAGTAAAATGTATTAAGACAATAAAAAACCTGTCAATACATTTAAGTAAATCATTTGGAATAGTTGAAATACTTTCAACGGTGTTGAAGTGATATGCCTTAAAAATCATTTTCTCACTCGTCTTTCTCTTAAAAGACCAATTGCTTCCTTTATTATTCTCGTCTTCCTAATAAAAACGATAAATACATTTAAAACTGATTGTGTTCGTTCAGGTTTTACCTTTATTCAAGAATGGGAAATTTGAGAACTCCTAGCTGAGTTTTTAGATCTTTCAATACCATCCCAAGAAAGATAATCTCAGCCCATAAGAAGGGAAAATTGCTTTTTTTCATTTTATTTTGTTTTTTCTTTTAGTGCCAACCATCCCTGAAGGAAATGGCGGCGACGGTGACGGTGACGATGACAAATGATAACTGAACAAGATTAAAATTCAAGCCTTCACTGCCTTTATTCTGAGAATTAAGCAATTCATGTACACGAAGTTCAATTTTATATAACTTGAATCGTAGTGGTAGACTTACAAAGTACTGTAAAACAGCAATAAAAGTTACACCAACATGATCGGCCTGTTGTCCTGGCACATTTTCTTGTTCTGAGCCAAACAAAACACACGTTCCACCGACTCTTGGTTAAATCCTTTACTAAAGATGAAATGAGATCCTAATGAACAGCTTTGTAACATGTAATCCTGTAGAAATTTGAGAGGCTTTCAGAATCCATGCAGAAATTCATTGTGAAGTAACCGATTGGATTCATAAAGGCTGCAACTACAACTAAAGTTCTGATGAGAAACGAGTCTTTTACAATCGTCGGGCTATTAATATTTAACATAATAATCCTTTAAAGATGTTCAAATTTCGTGTGGAAGTTTTAACCTTTTTGGTCTGTGCGGGAGGCAAATATGTTAAAATTGGCAAATTTGAACTCCTTTGTCAATGTTTTGGCTATTTGCGCGGATGCGAAGGAATCCGCTTTAGAAACTGGGTCGCTTAAGAAACAACTTAAGAAAGTAGCATTCATTTTTAAGAAAGAGCAAAGCCATACATAGCAAGCCGAATGAGAACTCGACGGCTCGTAGATAACGTGGGGTAACATTCGCAATAAACTTTTCAAAATAATAGAAAACAAGATATTGATTCGAGAGCATAATTGTGTTCTAATTCGATTCAGGCGACACGTATGCAAATAGCGTTCGGAAAATTAATAGCGTTTTGATTTCTTTTCTCACGTAGAATGAGCGGGTTTGTTTGAGGTCGTTTGATCTATTTTTG